AAAAAAAAAAAAAAGGTTTGTCCCAAGGATGTTCCATGATTTATCCAAGGGTAACTAGGTAAAGGGTCTAAGTATAAATATTAGAACCGTTACTGAGCTGGAAATTTACAGAAGTCAAATATAAATGATTATTTTTAGTTTTATTTATTTTGATAGAGAAAAAGAGAGTGCACAAGCAGAAGGAGAGAGAGAGAATCCTAAGCAGGCTCCACAGTCAGCATGGAGCCTGACATGGGGCTCAATCCCATGACCCTGGGATCATGACCTGAGATGAATCATGAGTCACTTAACCGACTGAGCCACCCAAAAGCCCCCAAAATGTAATGTTTTTAATTATATCAACTGCAAGTCAGTCCTGATACTACCATGTTTAATTAACTAAGTTGATTTTCTTTTTTGTGAGACTGTTTATCAAATGCCTACATCAGTAAGTTTCACTACCCCAGAAGAAAGTATTTTGTGATACTGCTTGCCATAAAATGAAAACTCTCATTTGTTGCCAAATTGATATTATGGAAGTCTAAATACATAATTTAAGCTTCTGAAAACATTGCTGTACATTGAAAATGTGTGACTATGAGCATGTAGAAAGACATGAGCACTAATTTTGCTTGACCATTTTGGTGAAAAAAGAGGGACACAATTCTTGTCTTGGGGGATGGGAAGTTATTTGAAATTAACACCATCAAAGGTGTTTTATATTGGTTTATTTTGGCAGAAAGGATATAGGGATCTCCTGTCTGCTGTTTTAAAATCAAAGTTGAAACTGGATAAAAATGCCATTTAACTGAAGATTTCGGTAACTTTTGAGTATCATAGGTCAAAATTTTTGACTTCTCAAATCTGAGAGGAAAAAGAACTTACTATATTTTCTGCTCTTTGCAAGGTGGTATTTGATACCAAACAATGCTTTTTAAAATAAAGAAGTTCTCTCTTTGTCGATAAAAGAAACAGCCTAAAGCGTGGGAGAACATGTGAACCAAAGGATATAATTCAGGAGAGAAGTAGAAGGAACTTTTAAGGCACTTTTAAGCTTCTATTTTAGGAATTTATCAATATCTTGCAACATCTATGTAGGTGACACAATCTGCCTTTTGAATAAGAATTTTAAAAAAGGTTCAGTGACAAGTGTAGAGATGCCCAATGCAAGGAGAAAAATGGGAGGGCTGAGGGCACTTGGGGTTTTTCAGAGCCTGACTTTTTGACCACCAGGTTGCAGGAAAAATGTTCCAGAAATTCTGTCTTGAATTTTCTAATGAGTCATTGCTAGTTATGAGATTGAGCCCAGTGATAACTCAGAAAGCAAGAGCTGTTCATTATACAGTTTGCACTGAAGGCAGTGAAGTATGCTGCATGCCCTAAAGAAAAGTTGTGGAGATTCCTTGCTTGCCTTAGAAATCAGAAAACCCACTTCTAGTGTTGTCTAAGAAAAGAGAATGTGTGAAGACTTCCAGGGACAGCTTTCTGGCTGCGTCATCTTGAGCAACTTAACTGAATAGCTATTACTCACTTTTTACTCATGGGGAAACAAATAGCCCGTCCTGCCGTCTCAAGGAACCCCCTTTGGACAACAATGTGTTATAATATTGAAGTACACTTTGAACTGTAGATGTCTGTGTAAGAATGATGTGCTAGAAACATGTTTGACCCTTGAATACTGAACCAGTATGCTGACCACATTTTATAGGGTCTTGGCAGGAATGGGGTGATTGAGGAGAGTTTAATGAAGGGATTATTGACAAAAGCTTGGCCAGATTAAGGGAGACCATCAGCCAGGTTAAGAGAGACCATCAAAGGATAACAGAGCACCCCAAAGCTAGCAGCAGAAGAGCCATTAGCAGCCCTAGACACAATAGAGCAAGGAATTGGGGCAGTTATTGGACACTAGAGTTTTGTTCTAGCAACCATGTGACTGCAATATTTGAGACGTCTGGAACTTCACCCTGCTACATCCTCACAATCTCATAGGGTAAGGTATGTTGATTGAATCTAATGCAGAGTCAGAAATTAAGGAAGTTCATTGAGACAATCCATAAAGGTCACTCTCCCATGCCAAGAATAGGTAGGAGATGCTGGAAAGTGGATCTGGACGGGCAATTGGAGAATGTTCAGCACTCTAACCACCATCCAGAGAGGCATTACATTCCAGTTGGGAAGGAAAAAGCAGAAGGGAAGTAGCATAGTTGGGTAACTAGTGTGTGCCAGAAACTTTACATGAATTATCTCACGTAATCTTAGCATAACCACAATGGGAGGCTGATTTATTATCACCATTTGATAGGGCAAGATACTGAATCCTGAGGTGTTTAATAATTTGTTCATGGTCATAAAGGTAGTGAGTGTGAGAATAACATGAGAAACCAAACTTGCTTGATGTCAATATGAAGGAGCATTTATAAGGGGACTCCAACTTGTCAATAGATATGCATATAAAGTAGTGTGAAACTGCTTGCTTTTATGGAGGAAGATGTAAACATAGGTGGAGACCCATGGAGTTCTTTATGTCCCATTTAACCAAAGCTCTCTATCATGATACTTGGCTCATATTTTGATATAACTCATACTTATTAGCCCAGGTATGCTATTTTTAACTAAGCCTCAAAACTATTTTAATTCCAAATGTCTGAAGGACATCACAGTCTTTGGGTTTTTTTTTTTTTTACAATGATGAGAATAACACATACCAAATTTTTCTGATTCTGAGGAAATTGTAATAATTATTCCACTGAAGTAACCTGAAAGGACTCATGTGTAGACTTCAGCCCATCCACTTCTTTGGGGAAAAACAATTCTGCCTTCCTTGGGGAACTGTATCATTTTCCTCTGATTATTAGATGTTATATATTAAATTACAAAGTCCAGTGGATGGCTTTAGTTTATGATGAACTTAGAATGTGATGGTACCTACACTTTACACACACTCATGTAAATATCATGGGAGTAAAACAATTTTCTAATTCTTCCTACTAAATTGGGTCCATAATGAAGATATTCTGAATTATGAAATATATATCCATAGCAGAGTAGCCATATTGGCATCTCATCATGCTAATGATAAAGTTTTATTTGTTATTGTCGTTGTCTTGGCTCATGTTTGTTTTCCCTCACAGTAATCTTAAGTTTGAGTTATTATCGTATTTCTATTTTTCTTTTCTCTCTCTGTTTTTGTCTATAATCCTATAAATATATATTGAGTTATAGTTTGATATGATCAAATCTTGAAACACACATCATATTGAAAGATATTATTATGTTACTATCAATGTTTCCAAATAAGCAGAGTTATCTAGTTAATGCTCCCTGAATGGGAATCTTGGATATAAAAACGGTTTCAAGGTGTAATAAAGTACATCCGAGCTCCCAGCTCTTCCTAGAGCCTGAACACTGTCTGAGTGGCTTAGATTTCCCTGGCATTCTTGTGCCTCATCTGCTACTCAAATAATTTAGGGACTTGAACTCCTTGCAAACCTTTTACAGATGACTTGATTAGATCATAAGAGTTAAAAACAAAACAAAACAAAACAAAACAAAAAACCAAAAAAACCCACCAGGATTATAACTTCAGAAATGGCCAGATAGTGGCCCAGCCTCAGTTTGAATTGAACTTGTATGATATTCCTGGGATTAGAAGTACAGAGGAAATTGTCTTTAATCCAGACAGTTTTCTTTTACTTGGGCCAGAGATATCACTCACGTTTACTCAACAGGAATGTTTTGGGCTAGTCACAGTCATTTTTATTATGGGCTTTTAGCAATATGGTGGGAGGTGTTTTATGATACAGAGTTGAATAAAACTGCAGGACACAGAAAAAAATATAGTGTCATCACTATGGAAATAACGGCAGTGTTCACTGATACTATGTTCATAAATGAACAATCATGCAGCTAAAAGAAGTAATTAGTTGGACCTCTAGATGCTAAGGACCCAACAAAAAAGATCTTGAAGATATTTATTCTGTGATAAAAGAAAGTCCCAGAACACTGTCTACATCATGACCACATTTGTGGTTAAGTGTTTATACGCATATATACACATTTGTATGCACATACATATAATGGCTTTGAAATTATACATATGAAAATGTTAGCAATATTTATCTATAAAAAGAGGTATGAGAGCAAGGAGAGGGCTAAATAAGGACTTTGAAAATAACTTCAGAAGCATCTCCCAAATTTTGTATCTTTAACAAGAATATTAAATTACTGGTGAAACACATAAAGAAGCAGATGGATGAAACCCTGAAAATATATCAGAAGGGAAAACGCTAACATTTTAGCACTGACAATATTATGTTATTTTGTATGATCTTATGTTTTACCTCCTTTCTCTTTTTTTAATTTTTTTCTAAATTTTGTATTACTTTTATAATAGAGAAAATGTAGCTAACCAATTAAAATATAAATGTTGAATAGTACCTTTGGATTTAGACACTTGTCTACATTAATTCTGATTGGTGTTTTATTCATCTGAGTTGATTCTAATAATGCATTTATTTCTTTCATCTCTCTGATGTATTTGTGAGCTTCAGAATAATTTATCTTTGACCTCAGAGCCTTCAAGCTATTTATGTATTTACTCCTCTTGTAAGGGAACTGGAGTCTGTGATAAATTGTAAGAGTCTTTCACTTCCAGGGTTTTCTTGGGTAGATGAGGCTATGTTATGATTTATACTTTAATTTGGTAGGCAACAGTATGCCATTCAGTTTACTTTCTAATGTATATTTTTGCAAGTTCTCCTTTTATACACTATAAAATGTATTTTTGCAAGTTAGCCTCTAATGTCTGTGACTAAAATCTTTCTCGGTATTGGCATCACTGATGCACACCAGTTAAAAGACAAAAGAAAACAGAAGATTATCCGAGTGGGGACTTGATGTAGGCACGTGTGTGTGTGTGTGTGAGAGAGAGAGAGAGAGAGATGAGAGATGAGAGAGATGCCCACATTCATTCTGAATGAGCTGTCTTCCTGAAAGTCATTCTCCCATTTTTCCCCCCTCAGCAATTATAAAAACTGCCCTTCCCAACATGGACAGAGAAGCCAAGGAGGAATACCTGGTTGTTATTCAAGCCAAAGATATGGGTGGACACTCTGGTGGCCTATCTGGGACCACAACACTTACAGTGACCCTTACCGACGTAAATGACAATCCTCCGAAATTTGCCCAAAGTAAGTTTGTTCCCTGCACTGGGTGAATATCTAAGTACAATGTTTTCACTTGAATTTATTTTCTAATTTTTAGCAACATTCAAAAACCTGACAGCAATTATTGAATGCTTATTATGTGCAAGGTATGCCAGTGTGTGTGTATATATACACATATATACATATACATATATATATACACATATACATATATATATATATACATATACATATATATATATATATATGAAACAACCAACTCTCCTGTCATTTTGGTAATAAATGTATTATCATTTTACAGATTTTAATGAAGTTGAGAAAATTTCCAAATATTAAATGTATGGTATATAGTTTGTAGCTAAGAATTAGAACCAGGGTGTGTCTGACTGCAAGATGTGTGCTTAGTTCTCTATTCCATGGTACTTCCCATTGTGAACTTGAAAGAGTAATTAACACACACCTCAGATAGTGCTTTATCAATTGTCCCACTCTGTTGTATAAAAGAAACCACATCTGCAGTGCCTGAGGAGGGAAAAGAAGATACGCAGTGTACTGTATACTTGCTGCAAAAATAAACACTCCTTCCTGTGACTTCCTGTGGCTCCTTCACCCAGCAGTGATCGCTGACACTACTCATCCCTACTAAAGCCAGGCTTTGCTTCAGAAGCATCTCATTAAAATTCAAGGCAGCCACCATCCATGAATCAGGGAGACAATCATTGTTTTCCAATTTTTTGTACACTCACAGAACCCTTTTTTTTCTGTTTAATATATTTACTTTGAGAGAGAGATTGAGCATGAGGAGGGGAAGGGCAGAGAGAGGGGAAGAGAGAGAATCCCAAGAAGGCTCTGTGCTGTCCAGTGCAATGTGGGGCTGAGTGTCATGAAGCTGTGAGATCATGACCTGAGCCAAAATCAAGAGTCAGATGCTTAAGCAAATGAATCATCCAGGTGCTCCACAGAACCATTTTCTTGTGAGCACTTATCCAAATAATCTGACAAGCTGTGTTGTGAAGCCTTTTTGACATGGAGACTCTTGAGTTGAGATATGAATTATGACTAGGAATTAGCTGGAACAAGGTGAAACCAAGGAAGTAGGGGGTGGTCATGGCCATGGGAGGAAGAGGATATCCTAAAGTCCTGTGAAAGAAGGAAACATGGCCCTTGGTGAGAATTAAAAGAATCTTACAATAGCTACCAGGGTGGCTCAGTCAGTTGAGCACCCAACTCTTGCTTTCGGTTCAAGTCATTATGTCTTGGTTCATGGGATCAAGCTCTGTGAAGGGGTCTGCTCTGATAGCACAGAGCCTGCTTGGGATTCTCTCTCTCTCTGTCTCTCTCCCTGTCTCCCTCTCTCCCTGTCCCTCCCCAGTGTTTCTCAAAATAAATAAATAACCTTTAAAAAAAGAATCCTACTACAATTAGAACACAGAATCTAAAGAGTTAGGTTAGGCAGGAGTTAGCCATACTTGGATTTAGAGGCCATTTTGAGCTCCATGATCTTTATCTTAATATCACTGGGAAGACAGTAAAAGGTTTTACATTGTAGGTTGAGTAATAGAATTGGAATCCAGGGATATCACAGAAAATGAAATCTGGCCTTTTTCCAGTGTGTTCTCCACACTGCAGCCACTTAAAGGGTGTGCATAAACATTCATGTAAAAAATGATGGCAGAGATGATGGTGGTCTCCATGAAACTAGAGAAAGGTGTGACAGGCACTTAAGAGGTAATGATAACAGAACTTTAAGGTTACCTTCTATTTTCAGTTGACGAAGTGAGTTTTCACATGTTTACAATGAGAGAGTGTGTGCATGCTGGTGCTATTGTAGGAGAACCAGTTATGTTTTTTTTAAGAGGATTTTTTAAAGTTTGTTTATGAGAGAGAGAACATGAGCAAGCATGAGCAGGGGAGGGGCAGAGAGAGAAAGAGAAAGAGAGAGAATCTCAAGCAGGCTCTGCACTGTCAGCACAGAGCCTGATGTGGAGCTCAATCTTACAAACTGTGAGATCATGACCTGAGCCAAAACCAGGAGTTGGATGCTCAACCAACTGAGCCACCCAGGTGCTCTTGAAGAGAGAGAAGAGCAAAGAGAGGGAGGGAGAGGGAAAGGGAGAAAGATAGATATGGGGGGGGGTTGAAAATGATACATTTGAGGTATTTTTGACAATTTATATGCAGAAAAAAAATCCAAGGTAGAAAGAACAGAAAGGATGCATTTTCATTAGGAATTTCAGAATTTTCACTTCTGGCTATGCATAAATCAGATAACGATACAACCCTTTTTAACCAAATTATTGAAATGGAGAATACCATTTCTCCCATCCCTGGCTCTCTTCTTTCCTTTTCAGTTGCCATTATAGTTAAGGTTCTAATATGCAACTCTCCTTCCTCAGAAGATGATTGTTTCAATTCAGCAGTGGCAGTTGAGTTTCAAAAGTGTTCTCTTTCTTAGGGGTAATAACTGTTAACTATGATCACACTGACAGAGATGATGAGTGAGCAGAACAGGAATGGATAAACGTTCCATTTGCTTGGCTACCCAAAGCTCCCTGATGTAGGCCTAGGAGCAAGGTGAAACCCCTTGCTGGCTTATTTACTTAATAAGCATACCTAGAGTGATCATCTCAAACCTTACCTGGAATATAAAATTTGAAGGAAATGGAATCATTACACTAATTATGAGAGAATAGGGAGGCTTGTGTTGCATATGTGTATTTTCAGTGCCTACCTTATGGCAAAGCTATTTGGAAAACAGTTTTGTTCCTCAGTCCCATAATTTCATGATTCTAGGAGACTTTTTTTATTTCATCATTAAATAAAAGTGTGCTGGTGCTAGAAGAAAACCTTACCCATCATATGAAATAATCTTGTTAGATCAGGTAGAACGAGCCTGGTTTATCCAAGGGACTCAGTGATTGAGTTCCAACTAGAATTAGGTAATGTTCTCTAGATTTAATTTTTCCCTTTGTTTTATAGCTCATCAAATATTTATTTATTCCCTTGTTTTGGTTGCAGTGGGACTAAACCTTCTTGGTTGCCTTGACTTTGGGTTCCCCAGAAACAGGCACTGAGACAAGAATTTGATTAGAAGTAGTTTATCTTGGAGACGATCCCAAGAAACGCCAGTGGGGAAGTGAGGATGTGTGAGGGAGAAGGATAGAGAGCCAATAATGTGCATTATCAAGCCAGCTATGACTGTGGAGGACTGGAGCTGTATCCCATCGGGGAAACTCTGAAACACTGTAAATAGACAAAAGAAATAGCTCAAGGTTACCCTACCAGAAAGGGGAGGAGCTTGGGATTTTATTTCCTAAGTTGTGTGAGTCTTTGGGGCTGCTTCTCTGAGAGCATTAATTTTCTGGTAGTTGTGGCCTGACAGGCAGTGGGCAAAATGGGTTCTGAAGGCCAGAAAAAAAGCCTCAGGCAAAGAAATGCGGGAGTTGGCAGTTAGATGTAGGGCAGGTGTGTACTGAAGTGCTAATGGCCAGGGGTTATGGTCGCTTCCTTCCACCGATGAAATGAGTGACACCAAAATACCAACTTAAGTGATTTGAGTAAAATTGGGCCCGATACCACTAATTAGACATGTTTTACTGGCCCCACAGGAGAACGAACATACACTGTAATTGTATTTTGCCTAGAGAGTCTTGGAGGTATGATTTCTGGTCTTCAGAGCAATGAGGACTTTAGTAACAGGAGGACAGTTTCATGTTTCTGAACAGCTTGCTGCAGGGCACAGCAGAAGTTTAGTAATTGGATTTTATCAAAACTGGTCTACAAGTCTGTAAATATAAAGGTAACTTCAAAAGTGTCTTTCAGTGTGTTACACATTACATCTCTCTGTGCTGAAATTAGTGTAATATTTTATGTTGGGCAACAATGAATATCCCCATGGGCAGTCAGTGTGATTATACAGCAAATTGGAAAGAACATTCACATTGACTCGCTAACATCCTGATATAAATTTGTTCCAAATAAATGCTTGGTGAACATACAGTTGAATAAGTTTTATATCTCAGAAGAGTCTCGAAGACAGATCACTTCTTCTGGGAGCGCTTTATCTTTGACTCATTTAAAAGATTGTGCATTTCGCAGCAAAAGGGATATTTTTGTCTTTTCCATCACTGTACTGTTAGTATCTATAGGTGAGCTCTGAAGAAATAAAGTACCTAATAAATATTTGCTGAATAGGTTATTAAATGAATGAAAGTTGTGCAGTGCTCAGTGTTTTGTTTTGTTTTGTTTTGTTTTTTCTAAGGTCTGTATCACTTCTCAGTACCAGAAGATGTGGTTCTTGGCACTGCAATAGGGAGGGTAAAGGCCAATGATCAGGATGTTGGTGAAAATGCACAGTCATCCTATGACATCATCGATGGAGATGGAACAGCACTGTTTGAAATCACTTCTGATGCCCAGGCCCAGGATGGCATTATAAGACTAAGAAAGGTAAGCTAAGGAAGATTTTGTTCATCTTCCAAATGCTTCTTTGAAGTTTACAAGAGTTGAGTGGACTTCCTGACATAATCTTAGGATTGATAGAGGTTTAGCTTCTTTAGCTGTGAAAGTGTAGAGTCCTTTTTGCACCGCATACCCTCAGTCCCACTTTCCATTTCAGCTAAAGGGTGGCAACCAGTTACCATGGTGTTGGTAGCTTCCCATCTCACCCATTATTTCCCCTCAGCTGTGCCCTGTGCTCTTCCCCAAGCTAAAGGAATTTGCTCACTTCTTTTGCAGAGCACTCCAGTCACAAAGGGAAGTCACCACTCAAAAGGTCACCCTCAAGCAATGAAGGACATAGATTGTAGACAGTTCTTATTCTTTGAAGACATTTATTCTCAAGCATATTATCTATGGTTCCTAAGAGGATTCTCAGTAGGAAAGAGGTTCACATGCCCACAGAGGTGGCAAGTGCAGTGGCTTTTAACCCTTATCTGTATCACTCTCCCCATTGCTGTATTCCTGGTACTTGGAATATCTACACAAAATACACTGAAGATTCCCAAGTTTTTATTACAGGCTCTGCTTTCAGGGAGCCTCAAGGACAGACCAGGCAGTCAGCCTGAGTTGTTCTCGCCAGCTCTAGCACTAGAAGGGCAGGGCCAACCCTGCTACCATTGGATACTCCAAACCTTGCAACGAAGGTCCAAGCATTATGGTCAATGAAGTTCATCTTTGCCTTGCTTCCGGGCGTGGGGCTACCATCAGAGAAAGAAGTATCTAGATGAATAGTGCAGATAATGTATGGCAACGGCATCTGCATCTGCCAGACACCATTTCTTTTGTGATAGATGTGAAAAATTCTGTACAGTAGTTCCCATATTTATTTATCATCATGACATCTACATTCATAAAAAATGTGTAGAATGCATTTCATTGTCTTCTGGGCATGGACATTTGCAAGGAAAAATATCCTTTTGTCCTCATCTTGAGTATTTTTTTTCAATACTGGTTTTCATATCTTTTCATGAAATAGCACGAATTAATTTTAATTAGATGTGTTTGTTCATGAATAAGAAGAAAAATGGCAGAGCACTCTGTTGGGAGCCTGTCTGCCTTGATCAGCATTATATTCACGTGATTCCAAGCTTACTATACAATTCTCTAGTCATGTGACACTGGAATCTGGTTCCAGTGGCCATGCCCTTAAAATCCCCTGTTGGAGAGATCGTGACACTGCGAACCTGGAGTTTTCTGGACATACTTTTGTGTACAAAATCAATTTTTTGAATTTTGAGCAAAAAAATATGGCTGCATTTATTTTAACTGTGTTCAGAACAACTCTGGCTTTCTACCTGGCTTGAGTTTAGGTTAAGAGTTGAAAAGTATTTAAAAACTCATGTTTAAAATAGAGTACAGTATAATTATGCTTGAGTCAATTATTGAATAACCCAGAGCCACATTTTCCTTAGCTAATGATTCCTGATGTCATTTTTATTGTTATTATTAACTGCCATCCTTTGCTACCATAAGGTGCTTTTATAAACTGAAGCAATTAGCTGTGTGTTATAGTTTTATTCACTGTTATTCATAAACATGGAACTATATACTACATATTTTGACATCAAGAAACCCACCTATTTTACTTTAGAGAGAAATATATAGGGAGTCATATATATGTAATTCATGGGTCTTCTATTTGATGAAATCCTAAGGACACTAGGGATGTGTTTGGATACATTGTCATTATGTTGAGCTAAGAGATAAACAGAACATAATCTGCTATACTTAACAGTGTTTGTGAAGAATTTGAAATTACAAAATTGTTATAGTAGGGGTGATTGGCAAATTTTTGCAAATGCTGACATTGAATGGTCTGTTTGTGCATACACGTGCCTAGCAATTTCAGAATAGACAGGGAAGTGAGTATATGCCTTGTTTACTAGAAAATATTTCCCCCAAAATCCAAGTCCCATTAGAACTGAATTCAAGTAGAAAAATCACCCCCAAATTTTGAAATAAAACTACATATTTAAGCTTGTACAGGGGTTCTGGAAGCGTTCACTAATGCCTGCCTGTCTTCCGATTTATTTTTTAGAAATCTGCATTGCAGATTGTGAAGAATTGCAGCTCGCACCTAAATTGTCTCTCTGAACTTTGACAGACGTTTATTCTTGAAATCTGAAATATTACGAGTTGCCAAGAATGCAATGTCAGATTCTGATATAGATGGGCTTCTAAGTATTTAGGGGAACTATTTTCTTTTACCTATCTCTCTTCACCTAGGTCATTAGCTGAAGTCTCAGGGGCTTTTAAGGAATGAGGAATTAATATGTCAGAAGTATTGTCAGTAATGGCGCAATGAGGTAATTTCAAATTGCTTTTAAGTGGTTGGTGGAGGCATGGCCAGACCTAGTTATCTATATATATACACACTGCTCTTACCCTTCCTTCTTCTAAATATAAACACAGATAAATATGAATCTGCATACATATTTCTTTATATGCCCACCTGCTTCAGAGCCCAGAACTTATAATAGAGACCTTCTAAGAATACCCTAAAAAATAATAAACCTCATTTTAGCCACATGATCAGTAGAGCAGCAGTAATTTTAGAAGTGAAATAAGAAAACACTCTTTGTTGGGATTAGTGCTAAATTATGCTTTATAATGTCTCCTTGGACTAAACAATGATTATTTCTAGTTCTTTACATTTCACACACTGTTGCAGAAATGATAAACTATTCTTCCCAGATAGAGATTGTGTTCGATGCCGCCTTATCTCCTACCAGCAGAGGCCCGATTAACTGGCTGATTGGTATTCAGGTCATGCCACCACTAGTAAAATTTTATTATGACTCTGAAGTGAAATTTTGATGGCACAATTCATGACTGTGAATATTTTGCGAATTCCAAGTGAAATGAGCAAAACAAAACAAAACAATAGGAGATTAGATTCACTGAGCTTGTATAATAAACAGATATCAATAAATGCCTGTAAAATTTACAGGTTGAATCTGAGGGAATGGAGAGTGATCCCATTAAGGCTCGCAAATGGGCTTAAATGCACATAACTATCATCCATCAGCATTATACTCATTTGTTCTTGCTGCTGTGGTCATTAGCGAGAAACATTCATCTTTGTCATTTCTTAACAGCCTCTGGACTTTGAGACCAAAAAATCCTATACACTGAAGGTAGAGGCAGCCAATGTCCATGTTGACCCACGTTTCAGCGGCAGGGGGCCCTTTAAAGACACGGCAACAGTCAAAATTGTTGTTGAGGATGCTGACGAGCCTCCTGTCTTCTCTTCACCTACTTACCTCCTCGAAGTTCATGAAAATGCTGCTCTAAACTCCGTTATTGGGCAAGTGACTGCTCGTGACCCTGACATCACCTCCAGTCCTATAAGGTATTTCTTTTATAATTTGTTTAATGTTTTTTTTTTGAGACAGAGAGAGGCAGGGTAGGAGGGGCAGAGGGAGAGAGGGAGACACAGAATCTGAAACAGGCTCCAGGCTCCAGGCTCTGAGCTGTCAGACTCCCGAACTGTGAGGTCATAACCTGAGCCCAAGTCGGACACTTACCCACTGAGCCACCCAGGTACTCCAGGTATTTCTTTTTTAAAAGGCACATGGGCTACATCAAATGACAAGCACATCAGTGAAAAATGCAGTTATGTGTACATTCTTTGTGACTGTCTTTGGTAATCAGCTCACAGGACTAAGGGATTTTGGTCAGCACAATGTGTGCACGTGTGTGTGCATTTACATGCTCAGGCACGTGTTCACACACACCTACAAAGAGCTACATGCAATACGCAGAGCCAGGAATATCGAGTTGAATGAAGCTATTGGAGCTTTCAGAGAACTCACTGACTGAAAATACAAAATTGCATACGTTCTGCAGTGTATTTGGGTGCATCTTTTACATTTCTTTGCTTGATTGCAGCATTTGTTTCTAGTGTTGGGCAAGTATTGCTGATTTGTCTTCTTTCTCTTTTGACAGTTACAGTGAATTATATATATATATATAAAAGAACTTCAGAGGCATGAGACCACTGTCTCACTCGGTTCATTAAGAGGCCCTTATCTTATTTCTGTCTTTGGGGGTTGGCTTTGAAATTATCTTCTTACCACTTCATGGGCATTTCTGATAGGTCAGCATATCTGGATTGTTGCCTCTTAGAGAAAATCTTTCTTTGCCATTAAACAAAGAAACCTTTTGTTTATACTTTCCCTGCTCAGAATTTTTTCCCAAGATGAAACAATTCTTTCCTCTCCTCTCCTCTCCTCCCCTCCCCTCCCCTCCTCTCCTCTCCTTCTTTTCTTATGTTTATTTATTTTCAAGAGAAAGAGAGAGACAGCCATGAGTAAGGGAGTGGTAGAGAGAAAGGGAAACACAGAATCTGAAGCAGGCTCCAGACTCCGCACTGTAAGCATAGACCCTAACGTGAGGGTCAAACCCACAATCCATGAGATCATGATTTGAGCAAAAGTCGGACGCTTAAGTGACTGAGCCACCCATTCTTTTTTGTTGTTGTTGTTGTTGAACTGTGTACATCTTTTCTCTTTTGCCAGTCATCCACATGACAGTACAGGTGCTCAAGCTACAAAAGAACACTGAAAATCTATAATATGTACACTGGTCTCAAGGGTGAAGTGTTGGCTAATGATGTGTTTGAGCATAGATTTCAAATATTGTCTTAGAAATGTTTGTTGCAGAAGACAGAGAAAGAGGGGAAGGAGAGAGAAGGAGACAGAGATGTAAAGAGAGAGAAAAAAGTCTTAATGAATTGTCCTGTTAAACTGGGAGTTAGATATCAGTTCATCCCAACTCATTGAATGGATGTATTTTCAACTACTTTAATCATGGAAACTCGGGATAAGTGAGCTTTCTGGAAGCTTTATTTATTCACTTCTTTTTTATGTATTAACTTTGCATTACTCACAAGGTCACTGAAACTCTGAGACTACAAGTGAAACTCAGAATAGTCGGTGGCCCAAATAGTTTGGGCAAAAAATAATTCTTTTCAGATCCAGAAAAGCTGGTTTCAATATAAGCCACTTCAAAACTCAAGATAATGAATAGGGTATCCCAAAAGGATACAAAAAAATTTCCTCAAGACCCTAATTTCTGAGAAGATAAAATCCTACCTGGGGACTTCAAAAATGGTCAGGTGTCCATTCTCAATTCTGAAGAAGTTCAACAAGCTATAACCATATAGGATGTCCATACTTGCCTAAGAGAATTGTATCTCTCAAAGGGCCAAGTGTTGAAAACAAGGAAATAAGTATCCAGAAAAATAACTGTGCATGGTCATTCATTTTCTGACTACATATTGAAGTTATGAAATAGCTCTGTATTGTGATGCTGATACATAAATACAGGCAGTATTTGTGGAATAATGACTGTCCTGATTCATGTTTTTACTACTTGACCCCGGAAAAAGCAGAGAAAGGAGTAATTTCCGCTTGCCTCATATCTCCAAGCATGAGACAGAATGGAGTAAGATGAGTCCAACTGAATAATGGGGCCAGTTTTAACACTTGTTTTCACAAGATTTCTACTCTTTTCAGCAAGGAACATACAAGGGGTTCAGGAGTATGCCAAGTCAGGGGCCCTTAGGGATGGGGGCATTCAAATATTGGGGCAATCACATTTAAACTCCAAACATGGAATCCGTAGTGGCGGTGGGAATAGCCTTCCAGTGCAGAGGTAGGGTCTTAATCAGATCGAGATGAGGTCTGGGGAACTTTTCATGCCATAGTGACAGTAACCTCAAATTGGCAGAACTGGTTAAAAATCCAGGTTTATGGTTGCCCGCATATTTTTGCACATTTTGTTACCTCTCCATATACCGATGCAAACATGGAGATTTACTGATACCAACTCTGGTTCCCAGGGAATCAAATGGTGATTATCGCTGTAGTTAACTGTTATTGTTACTGCTATTGTTATTTTTATTATTACCACTGCTTTGAAAGGCAGGTGTAGAGGAAGCCTGAAGCTGCTTAGCAACAACTGCCCAGCTTAGAAGTGTTTTGTTTTCAGGCAAGCAAAAGGAGATTAGTGGCTATGTCACCTGGAGAGATGGATAGATTAAATACCATCTGATGACACGGACATATCTGTGTCTCTGATAGATTTCAGGCAAGCGCTTATTCCTTGGCATCTGTGATCCCACCCAGAGAAGGGGCGAATACTGTTTCAAAGCATTTTACAACAGGGCTTTGATGAGTGATTCAGAAGGCAAGCCCCACTCAGGTATGAATGGAGGCGGCTTGGCTGCATGGGATGGGAATGTAAGAATCATCAACTGCCTTTTTCAGCACCTGTTCTACTTTTCTGTACTTGTCTCTCTCCTCCACCCCCCACCGCCGCCTACCCTACTTCATTGGGTTATGGAGAGGAGCTTTCCTCTCTCTTTGCACAATTGGTTAATTTGAGTAGAAAATTAAATTTCCTGACTAGCCAGAGCAATGCATGGTTCCTTATGAGTCTAGCAGACAGATTTAGAGCCATTTAACCTTTTTTAACAGAACTAGAAGACATGGATATTCAAGGAATTACTGAGTAACAAATAGCTATGCATTATTGTCTCTTTAGAACTGTTATATTTTATATGCTGACAAGAAGGCATCCATCTTTTAGGGGAATATTTACTTTCCCTAATGTTTGACATCCAGCAAGAAAAAGGCCTTTTTATGGCATTTGCTGTGTTTAAATATGCAATCGTTTATTGGTTGGTCAACTTCCCATAAGACTCAACTTTTTTTAAAAGCACATCATCAAGTTGGAAATATTCTGTACTTTAAAATTCTTATACCTCAACCTGTACTTTTTAAATTTAGATCCAAGTTAGTTAACATAGTGTAATAATGATTTCAGGAATAGAATTTAGTGACTCACCACTTACATATAACACCCAGTGGTCATGCCAGCAAGTGCCCTCCTTAATGCCCATCGCCCATTTAGTCCATCCCCCACCCACAACCGCTCCAGAAACCCTCAGTTTGTTCTCTGTATTTAAGAGTCTCTATGGTTTGTCTCTCCCTCTTATTTTTGCCTCCCTTCCCCATCTTCATCTGTTGTACTTTTTAAATTCTACATATGAATGAAATCATATGATATTTGTCTTTCTCTCACTGACTTATTTTGCTTAGCATAATACACTCTAGTTCCATCCACGTTGTTGCAAACGGCAAGATTTTTTATCTTTGATCGCTGAGTAAAATTCTATTGTATCTGTATACCGCATCTTCTTTATCCATTCATCAGTCTATTTGGGTTCTTTCCATAATTTGACCATTGTTGAATGGGCTGCTGTAAACATTGGGGTGCATGTGCCCCTTCAAATCAGCATTTTTGTATTCTTTAGATAAATTCCTAGTAGTGAAATTGATGGACCGTAGAGTAGTTTTATTTTTAATGTTTTGAGGAACCTCCATGCTCTTTTCCAGAGTGGCTACACCAGTACCTAAACCTGTATCTGTACCAATATTTGTGTCTCTATCTTTGTCTATATATTCCCTTTCAGGGGAAAATAGACAGTGGCATAGAGGGTCTCACCTTCTCTCTTCCAGGAACATTAATTAAATATTTGCTACTCTTTTCAATACTCTGTATTTCTCGGTAATATTGAATGTAGTTGGGTAAATTATTTGTATTTAAAAAGGTGATGCATTTTGAACTTATGCAGACTAAAGTTCAAATCCTGTTATTGCTACTTCCTCCAGCAGCTGGTCTCTGGAATTCCCTTAGACTCAGTTTCCTCATATGTATTTTGGGATAATATCATGTACATCACAGGGTAACTAATAAAGTTCTGGTTTTTAAAAATAAGTAGTAGCTTTTAGCATTGCCAGTTGATAAAGCCACCGTCATTTTCATATCTTAAACACAAATTAAAAACCTAGTATTTGGGTTCCTGGGGGGCTCAGTCAGTTAAGCATCTCGCTTTGACTCAGGTCATAGTCTCATGATTAGTGAGTTGGAGCCCCTCACTGGGCTCTACACGAGCAGACAGAGTCTGTTTTGGATCCCCCTGTCCCCCGTGCGTGCGTGCACTCTCTCTCTTTCAAAATCAACATTTTTAAAAGCTCTGGTACTTATGTTAGCAGAGTTTCTTCTACAAATGGTTCCTGACTGTGCGGAATTACCTGTTTTTCCTTGAACAGTTACCTGCTGTAACTAAGTTAAATCAAGTTAAATCGTCTAACCTCAGTTAGTGTAATTTACTTCTGCCACTGCAGTGAGTATTGTTATGGGTGAATGCTTAATATGTGACAAGAATGTGCTATGCATCCTCCTTTCACTCCCTAACACCTCTGTGACATAACATGTTCTCATTATCTTAAACTGATGAGGAAACTGAGGATAAAAAGCCCAAATTGCTGAGTATCACACAAA